AAAACTTAAAACCCACGTATTTTGTAAAAATCCAAAAGAAAAAAAAGAAATAAGCTTTTGCCTCCAAGGCCTCCTGGAATGCTAAAGAAAAAGCATTCTCTCAACCTCACACACAGAACTGCTCAAACACAAAGGATACAGAATAACGTAAATGATGTGTCCACAAATTTGCCAACTATTTGTGACTAAAGTTCAAAAACGTGCTAGATGTTCTTCTGAACCAGAAAGAGCAACAAAATAACTACTTTGTTATTCTTATCTGAGAGAAAGCTTCTGTCTGCTTTGCCTAGAAAATAAAGAGTTCTGACAATGAACAATTATTAGGATGATAAAGTTTCTGAAGCAAAAACAAAACAAAAAATCAAGTAATAAGAAACCAGGCATGGTGGCGCATGCCTATCATCCCAGTACTTAGAGGGCTGGGGCAGGAGGATTGTCGCCAGGTGGAGGCCACCCTGGCTTACATAATGAGTTCAAAGCCAGCCTGAGACCCTGTCTCAAAAGAAAAAAAAAGTCAAGTAATAAACAGGCATGGCCGCACACACCTGTAATCCCAGCACTCTGCCGCCCCAAAGTAGAGTGCAGCCTGGGCAATTTAGCAAGACTCTGTCTCAAAAATTAAAAACAAAAAAGGAAATAATAATAGTATGTCCACAGAAAGGCCTAAAAACAATGACCAAACCAGTAGCAATAAGCATCTGAAGCACTCACATTGAGAATTTGAAATATCATTTGACACCTTCAAAAATACAGCACCTATTGCAGAAACCAGTGTTTCCGGGTTTAGAGCAGGAATTGTACTTGGAAAAAAAAGCAACTTTCCTACTCTGTGCTGAACAACATAAGGCAGCCCCGTTTCCTTACAGTCATTTTAAAGTTGAAAGCAGTTAGAGTGGGTATACAAGAATTAAAGGAAATAAAAACACTATTGTCCAAAGAATTCTATTATGTATAACCCATTCAACTGAGCCTTCTAACACCAGATGCAGGAAAATGGTCAATAAAGTTCCAGTGGTTGGCCTGTGACTGCTACAAAATTACATATCAAGAGCACCAGCAACTGCTTACTGAACTTGCTCCAAGAACAAAAATTGAACTTAAAATTGGGATCTATAATGAAAACAATGAAGTCAGAGCCCTTCCATCAGAAGAAAGACCATCTTTACAATGTTGTCCAACAAAACACAAATACACAATTTATCATTCTGGCAAAAATTAGTGTGTTAATTTATAAAAATCAGATCTGCAACAGAGAAGTTGCCATTCATTGAGAACTCACTGCAACAGATTCCTACAACATTAAATAAGGAAACTCCTTTCCTTTCTCCTTTTATCTCTGAACAGCCCCCTCCCCTTCTTCTCTCTTGTACTCTCAACTAAACCTTCTACAAATAACCTTTAGGAAGCTGACGTGGGGGGAAAAAATGAGCAATTTACAAATTAATTCCATTAATTCTTATAAACATCAGCATTATTTTTTAAACAAACTAAAAAATGCTATGTACAAAATCCAACTGATCCAAAGAATACACAGAAAAATAAGTCTCCTCCTCAACCTCTCCCTCCCAGTCAGCCAGTCCTCCTTGCAAGAATAACTAACCACTATTACAAATTTCTGAAGTAGACTTCCTAAATCTATCCTACTTTTACTTGCAAGTTATTTACATATTAAAAATAGCAAGGGAAATAATTTTTATAAGCAAAATAGTTCCTAAAAACTTTCCTCCCAACCATAGGGTATAGTTCAGCAGCAGACACCTACCAGGCACAAGGCCTTGAGATCAATACCTGATAACACAAAAACAATGAAACTTTTTCCTCTTTGGTCAAGTTAAATCTTACCTGGATCAAGTCACTTAAGATAAAGTACAAGGAAATCTATTGCTACTGCTTCATTGTGCTTACTCACCTAGGCTTGGGCCCAGATGGCGGAAGCAACATGTGCTAAAGGAAAATAGGAAATGAAAGGCAGCCAGCTTCCACCTAGGACTACTATAGAGAATGGGGCTGGGAGGCCTGTCTTACCATGACTACTATTATTATGATGTTCCAATCTTACCATTCTCTTTCTTCCTAAATTTCTTTAATTTTTAGGGTAGGCAAAGAAAAAACTACAGATTAGTATGGACTACATGAAAATACTTGTAGAGATTCTTATTTTCCATCAAGAAATCCAATTGGTCTCTTGGAATATATATATATATGGATATAATTAAATTTCAAACTCAATACTTTTCTTTATGATTTGTGGATACCACCTTCCCCAAATAAAGCATATGCAAAGCCAGTAGGTTTTCCTTTTCTCCTTAGGCTGTAGAAAGCCAGAAGCAACCACACTCCCATCCTAACGGGAAAAGGCCAGAACAACCACAAAGTCATAACTTGAATTCACCAGGGAGCTCAGGTGTCCGGGTCACAGTAGTATGAAATCCAACAAACCTCCAGAAGCCAGAGATGGGCACTGGCACGCCTGTGTCAGAGCACGTAAAACAGAGATGCTGGTAACATACAAGTCGGTGATAGGAATTCAACTAAAACTTCTAGTGACTTGTTTAAAGGTGAGTGAGGCCTAGCCTGAGACTGTCAAGCCTCCAACATACAGATGTGCAAAGAGTTCACACCCACTTGTAGAACTGTCTTCACTAGACACACAAAGAAATCTCAGGCAGGGTGAAGAGCAGAGGTCCCCCGGTGCTGTAGACATGGTGATGCAGATATACAGAGCTACCACTCAGGGAAAGGCACAAAGCCCTGCCCTGGGGACCTTTCTCCCCTAGGCAAAGGGGTGCCAACCCCTATCAGCCACAGGGAACAGGTGAATACCCCTGCAGCTGGGAGAGCAGCAAAGTGCCCTGTGATGCTGAGAGAGAAGCAATACAAAGTCTGGGCCCTGACTCTACACCCACACACCAACAGCAAGGGGCAGAAGGAAGAAAGGCCCTGCCACACAGGTACACAGGACTGAGCAAAAACATCCAGAAAAGGGACTGAAACAAAACAAAACCCTGCCTACTACGAGGCTGACATTCTTCTGAGAAAAGAGGGGCAACAATAGAGAGAAAGACTCTCCTGAGAGATGATTACACATGTAAGACCCAAATCTGCAGCACTTTGGGAACATGGAGGAAAAACCTTCCAGTTCGTCACTCCCTACTCTAGGCCAAGAAGAAAAGCCCAGGGGCAAACACAGAAACACATCCCAAAACCAGCTCAGTGCCTGCTACAAGTTGACTCAACCCAGCAGACATGCCCTATGTCTTGAAACCCAGCATTTTCTCAAAAATTAAGAAGCATGCACGTACACACATATGTATGCGCACACACACTGGGAAAAAAGTGCTATTAAGAAAAAAAACAGCCAGGTGGCACATGCCTGTAATCCCTGCACTCAGGAGGCTGAGGCAGAAGGATCACTTTGATTCAAGTTTGAGGCCAGCCTGGGCTACATAGAGTTCAAGACCAGTCTTAACTACAAGGCAAGACCCTATCTCAATCCTACCCGCTAAAAACGTACACACACGGGACAACAGATTTTCAAAATATATCAAACAAAAAAACTGATAGGACTGAAGGGAGAATTAAAATGAATCCACAAAATGACATACAGACTTCAATATTTCTCTCTCATAAATCATTAGGACAAGTATATATAAAGATGATGAAGACACAGAAACCTGAACAATACTGTCAAACAACTAGACTCCATTCAGTAACAGCCAGCCTGAACTACATAGTGAAACTTTGTCTCAAAAACACCAAAAAAAAAAAAAAATTTTAATTCCTTGTTTAAAGCTTGACAAAGAAAACTAGACACAGATGGTTTTACTGATGAATTCTATCAACATTATAAAGAATCAATTCTACACAAACTATTCTAGAAAACAGTAGAACACTTTCTCAACTCCTTTTATGAAGTTAGCATGACCAACATTCCTCAAGAATATAGATGCATGGGCAGGGGATTTAGCTCAGCAGTTCCGCCGCCTGCCTCGAAATTTTGTACCAGGGATGGAACTCGGGACCTTGCGCTTGTGAGGCAGGCAGTGGAACCACTGAGCTAAATCCTCGGCCCCCAAAATTCTTAAATATTAGCAAATCAATTCAGGACACATGAAAACAGGAAACTTCTTTGAAAGTTTATTTATGTTTATTCCATGTTTTAATCCTGCTCTAGGATGACCCCAAACACAATAAATGATTTAATTCCAGTCTTAAATTCTAAGCTTAAGAACAGAATTTTATGTATCTAACTTTACAAAACTACTTTCAAGAAAAGGCTCCACAGGCATTTTAATTTGGGGAAATTAAGAAGAAGACTACGTGGTGGTTGAAATGTAAGAAACTTTAGGATTAAAAGTAATCTACAGCCTCGTGGACAGACTCACCACCCCTTAGTTGAGTATATCTCCTTGGTTTCTTACCAACCTAAACTAAAAAGAACGCAACTCATTTTCCTCAGGGTTTCTAAGATTATGACACAAAGCATAATCTCTAATCTCCTTTCTACAAAGATGGGTCCCATTTGGTTTAAATACTTGCCTTCAACCTGGCTGGTATCTGAGCATGGTTTCCTCTTTGACTCCAAGCTCCCAGTTTTCTCATCACCATCCATGAGAGGAATATAGTCTGTTTTGCCAACAGTTTCCCCCACAACATCATCATAGGCCTCTGCTTCCAGGGTGGCCATGAAGTCCCGCTTGATCTCTTCCTCGATTTCCGGAGGTGGCTCCGTTAACGCATCTGCTAGACTGAGGTCAGCCATTCTGCACCGCTACAACTGCCTGTTGAGGGACAGACAAGTTTTATATGATGAGCACTCCAAATGGAAAACATTTCTATAAACACTCAGCAATTGCTTAAAACCAAAAAGAACCAATACTAAAATGTGAGAGCTAGAGGATGCTTTTTTATTTGAAAGATAAGAAAAATAAAGCTCAGAAATGAAGTCTTACTCAAGATAAGTCATTGCTATTCATGTTTTCTCACATTTCTGGAAGGTAGACAAAACAAGTGCCATTTTGCCCTTTTTATTAATAAAGTGCAAAATATCAACTTATTCAAAGAAACAGCAAGTAAGATTTAAATCATGTCTTTTGACTTCAAGTCTCAGTCTTTCAACTATCCTATACAATACATCTTCATTGCTAAGTCACATCCCAAACTGTTTTAAAAATAATATACAAAACAAGTCAGGTGAGTCAATAAAAAAATATTAAATTTCTAATAAATGAAACTACTTGGGAGGGTGCAGACTCAACCCAGGGCCTTCACATTGAGCTACATCTCCAGTCCTTTTTTATCTTGAGACAGAGATTTACTAAATTGCTAAACTGCCCAGGGTGGGCTTGAACTTGTGATCCTCCTGCCTCAGCCTCCCAGACTGCTGGGATTACAGGTGTGCACTACCCTGCATGGTGAAATCATCTTTCTCGAATGAAGACTGAAATAGGCTTTTAAAAGTCTAAGTTGAGGGCCAAGGATTTAGCTCAGTGGTTCCACTGCCTGCCTCACAAGCGCAAGGTCCCGAGTTCGATCCTCGGTACCAAAAAAAAAGTCTAAGTTGATAGAAACTCCGAGATAAGTCGACATATTACCTATACTGCTGACTAGGTCAAACAGGAAACCTTATGGCTACTATTCATACTTGGCTAGGAATTTATTCTTCCTGATTTCCCCTTCATAAAAAATAATCCCAATCCCCACAGGTTAAGACTAGAGTTGGAGCGATCAGATCACAAGAAAAAAAATGAGACAGGACCATTTTGTGACTACTACAGATCTTTTTCAATCATTTTATAATTTCCCCCATAGGACCACGATGGGAGGTGACCACAGTTACCAACATGCAAAAAACAAATGTTTCAGTACCCTAAAACATCAGAAGTCATCCCACTCCAGTACCCAAATGCAACACTTTACAAGGCTTTGCTGCATGTTTCAATGTACAAAGTATGAGAGGTAGCATAAAGGATTAAGTGCCAATATATAAACTGACTATGGGGCCAGGGATTTAGCTCAGTGGTTCCACTGCCTGCCTCGAAAGCACAAGGTCCCAAGTTCAATCCCTGGTACCAAAAAAAAAAAAACTGACTGTACCAGCTGCCAAATTCTTCTCCACAAACGAAGTACAGAGGGGATAAGTAAGCCCAGGGGTGAGATCTACTTGTAGGCAGGTGCCTAGAATAAAAAAGAGAACAATTCTTCCAGAACAGGGAATGCTGGGAAGGTTTGTCCCTATCTGTATGTGGCTGGGTGAAAATATTCATCTCATATTCTTTATATTGTATAAGGGGAAAAAACACCAAGAGGACTGTGATATTGATCATGCCCAAAGCAGGCTGTGAAAAGTTAACACCAAGACTGGCTTGTTTATAGAAGTGAGTCTGGGCCAGGGATTTAGCTCAGTGGTTTCGCTGCCTGCTGCACAAGCATAAGGACCCAAGTTCGATCCCTAGTACCAAAAACAAAGAAGTGAGTCTGGCTGAAGCCCATGTGCCGAGGTCAGAGTAACTCGCACCCACATTCCGTTCCCACAACTTAAACCTTCAGATTAGAAGGACAATGTTCTAATTACAACCATATATTTTGTCTATTCTGTTCCTAATTTAAGAATGCTTTGTCTTGTCCTTTATGAGCCTTGTTTACATTAATTTCCATAGAAACCAACTGTAGCTCACCTTTAACCCAATTGATTGTCAATAAAAATCAATGCCTGGGACTAGCCAGGCCTTTGTCGGTTGCGCCGGCATTGGTCATTCTGGCCCCCGCTTTCTCTCTCCTAGCTCTGTCTCTTAATGTATCTTTTTCTCAGGTCTGCATCACACACTGGACAGGTGCAGAGTAGAGACTTTTTCTGGGAATCTCTGGCAGATATTAAATACTGAATTTATATAGACTTCTGTTATAGTTTATACCTAGATGTCCCCCTCAAAGTCGCATGCACTCACAGGTGGAGCTTTGGGGAGCTGATTGGATCACAGGGGTGTGATACTCAGCAGTGTTAGCCCATTGATGAATTTATAGCTAAATGTGACTGGGGGGGTGGAGCCTGGTCAGAAGAGGTGGGTCACTGCGGGTGTGGTCTCTCTCCCTCCTCCTCCCCTGATCCCTCTCTGCTTTCAGTCTGCCATGCCATGGGCTGCTTCTCCTCTGCCAGGCCCCTCTGCTGCGCCACCCTGCACTGGGACCAGCTGACTATGCACTGAATCCTCTATAAACTGTGAGCCAAAATAAACCTTTACTCCTTTAAATTGTGGGTGTAAGGTATTGGGTATCAGCAATGAGGAAAGTGAGACAACTTCCAAATAAAATCTTTTCAAAAATTTTTATCAAAAATGATAAATTTGAGCCTTCCTCCATGTGCCTAATGTTTAACTATCAGGTTTCCTATTTGAAATGACTACTTTGATTCCTGACCAAAAATTTTCCATGATTGGGCAGGGTATAACTCAGTGTTGGAGCTGTTACTCACTGAGCTGGAGGCCTGGGTTCAATCCCAGTACTGCAAAACTAATTAATTAATTAATTAATTAAGGTGATCTTTCAAATTCTAGATAACTCCATCATACAAAAAAGGGTAGAATGCCAGGAGGGATTTAGCTCAGTGGTTCCAGTGCCTGCCTCGCAAACACAAGGTCCTGAGTTCGATCCCTGGTACCAAAGGGGGGGGGGGGTAGAAAGAATTATTTGATTCATCCAAAACCAGGGAAAGATACAACCCAAAAAGAGAACTACAGACCAATCTCCCTAATGAACATAGATGCAAAAGTCCTCAACAAGATACTGGCAAACAGAATACAGAGGGTCATCAA